GAAAGAGACTTTGTTTGTGTGTGGAGAATATAGAAGATTACAAAAAAGTTCCACTCCATGTAGACAAGTATGGATACAGTTGAAATACGCACACATGATGCACGAGCAGAAAAGCAAATTTGGGACCGACCTTGGATGCAGATGAAGCCCAGCACGAAGAGCGAATCCACCGGTGTCTTTCCACTCCTCATAGCCGCGTCCCTGGTGCCTTCTCCCCGCTGTCTCCTCCTGCGCTGCACTGGTACATCCATGCCCGCTCCTGAGCTCCGATCCTTGGGCTTAGGATCAACAAACGCGAGCTGCTGCCTTTTCGCGTTATTTTGTAGATCACAGTCAAGAAATGCCCCGCGCGTAAAAGTCTATGCGTAATGGAACAGCCACTGGAGTTTACCTGCGGTGTTGGGTGAAGTCTGGAGGTGATAATTCCCACTAGTTCCAGGGGAAAAACTACCAGGAACAGGGCGAAGACATGTGGGTTGATCAGCGAGAGGCCGACAGCACGGATCACTTACAGACGGGGAAAGTTTGCCCGCTCACTTCCAGGTGCGTAATGGATGAAAACTTGGTGGTTATAAATGAGTCTTGTAAGTTCATTCCAGTTGTGCCCGTGGTCCCTGCGACATCCCCCGGGTCTACGCGAGCCCGCACCGGTCACTAGTGTCCGTGGTTTGCCCCTGTGTGTGTGTGTGCCGTAGTTTGGCTGCGAGGTGCTCTGGAGTTTAGCGTCCGTCTCCTCCCACCGCTGTGAGGTTTTACTCCACGCACAAAGGTTCCGCTAATACAAGCCACACATCCGCCCGTGGCTTTCACAATAAAATTATAGAAAAGGAAAACAAAGTTTTATTTCTAGAGCTGGAATTGATCAAATACATTATTGGTCGATTAAAGAAATGAGTGATATCTGGCCAGCATATTTTCGCATTTGTTCTGACCACATTGTTCATACTGAATCCACATCTTAAGGTATATAGGAGGATTACCCCAAATTTTAGGAAAGAACCGCCCACTTTACTTTTTGAACAAAACTCTCTGGTCTTATTTGACGTGCACGCATCACCAAAATTATTGACAATCAGGAGGACCAATAGTCTTCATGATCCACCCGGAAGTAGAAAAATCTTCCTAGATACCTTTAAGCATGAGTCATTTATTTCTCAACTGATATCATCTGTTCTTATGAACATTGTTTTAAAATTAAAAAGCCCTGTCTCCTTTTCTTCGATCTGAAGGGACTCCAAAATAAACCATGGAAAAGGTGCGATCGCTGCTGTCTTGTCTTCATATCTCTACACATGTACATGATCATTTTTAATTGATTGTTTTAGTCAATTAATTGGAGGAGTTGAAAAACAGATCTGACCGACAATGTACTTTAGATTAGGAGAGCATCCATTCCTCCCACAGTGGGGAAATTTTAGTGTTGCGTCACAACAAGAGATAAGCGAATATTAAGGATAGCACAACTTTATGCTAAAATGGATTAAAATAATGTGAAAGAACTGGCTAAATACCAAAATCTACAGCTGACTTGCTCTATGGCTTCCGATTTTTGTAGATTTAAGTTATAATTAAATTGACTTTTAAACATCAGCTCCAGTTATTTCCAAGAATATTGAGTTTTTGCTTTGATATTCCTTCTGTGGAACCCTTTAGTTATATGTTTTATTCTTACATTTGAGTTTAATTGTGAAATCCATCTAATGAAACATCCGGAGTATCCATGGTTTCCAGCGCAGTCGTTTCCTGACTCTGCCACAAGCAAAAAGGAGAGCAGCAGCGCCACCAGGCGGCTGCTTTATGATCACTCATTACCCACAAGCATTCAAAAAAGCCACAAAATAAAAGTAATTCAAGCTGGTGTGCTTAAGTTTAAAACCACAAAGTAAAGAAACTGTCAGTCTTATAAAATCCTTGCTCTAAAACAGTTCTATCACTAGTTTTCACATGAATATATTTCTGTAGATCAGATTTTTCAGACATAAAAGTGGAAAAGAGAGGACCACCCTCACTCAGAATGTAATATGTTTCGTTTTCTCATACTACTAAAATAGCGTCTGAATAGAAAGACTCTTTCTGTTGGGAACAAAATGTATAATTTATTGAACAATAAAGTTAGCCCAGCTATGCAATCATTTGAATACATGTGCAGACCATTAACGAACCAAGACAGAGAATATTCTCACATGATCGAGGACAAACATGTATGTTTAGTCAATGTGAATAAAATAAAATAAAAATCTTCAATAAGTAATACCCCCCACTACGGAATCCACTAAAACTGCTCTCTTTTGTCACAATTTGGAGCAGGAGGAATGCAGCAGCAGCAGCAGCAGCAGCAGCAGCAGGAGATAGAAATCATTTGAAGTTTTGAGGCTGGTGTCAACGTTGCACTAATGAACTGAGAGCTGCTTCACACTCTCAGCTTCATAAAACCTGATAGGGAAAGGTCTGACAGCTCCGGGATCTCACAGCAGAGCTCTGAGCTGTCAGGAGGAGAGGATCCTCCAGGACAAAGGCTCTCCGGGGGTTTCTGACATTTGCACTCAAAAATGGGAGACAGAAATGGAATTGGAATCTTCTAATATTAAATGTATCCGCAATTCAATATTGATAGTTTTCAGGTTTTTATGGAAGGATGTGTTTCTGCTGCTACTGGAGATCTGCTCCAGTATAGATAGAACCAAACTGTTGAGAGCGAGGAACTACAGTAGATTGTAGTTAATAAAGGATGCCTATCTATATGGATGAAGATAAGAAATACTTTATTGATCTCACACTGGAGAAATGTATGTGAAAAATATATTCAACTTCTTTCTTGTCTCCATAAAGAAGAATGTCCCCTCTACAGTGTTATATGAATCTTACATACATCCAACGAGGCAGACCGACACTTTTATGACTTTAAAAAAATGTAAGAGCTTTCCACCGTGCGCAGGCTCATCTCATATCTACTGTATATACACTGTAGTAATCGAGTGGTTAGCACTGTCTTTTCTCAGCAAGTAGGTCCTAGAATCAAATCCTGATCGGACCCCCAGCTCTGGTCCTGACCTCTGGCGCTGAAGTATGGTGACCACTGACAAGACCAAAGCAGAGTACTTAAGTAATCGTAAAGAAAATTAAAGTATTCAACTTAAAAGTAAAATTTCAGGTCAAATATTGATCACAGACGCATTGAACTATTTATCAGTCACAATTATATATATTTGAAACCATTTATTCTACAACAGTCATATTGTAAGCAGATATACATAAAATAAAGAGTAGAAGACAAAGCTGATTACAAACTTATTTTTATTCCTTGATCAAAGCAGTTGTGAGGCATGATTCAAACACCATCAAAAACAGCACAAGAAAAGAAATGGCAGGAAACAATGAATATTTTTTCCCCCCCAAACATTAAAACAATTCCAGTTTTCTTTTCTTTTCTTTTTTTTTTAGCTTAACCAAAATTCAAGGTCCATCTTTTCACTGTGCAAAAACAAATCACTATATTCATCTACTCCAATGAGAATCTCTTCCTATAGTTGCTGTAAACATAAGGAGTTGTGTTCAAATCACAAATGGCACAAAACATTTCAATTATTTACAGAAAAACAGGTCCAATTAAAGAGACCGATGTCAGAATCATTATATACAGTAAAATTACTAAATTAATCGCACATGTTCTCTGTAGTAAGAGAAGCTATAGGTCAAAGCAGCAGAGTATATTTAATTAGTGTTGTATTGAACCCTGTATCACAAAGCTTTTCCATCACCTTAAAATCTCAACAGGCAAAATGATTAAAAATACTAATTACAGCATCTTAAAAATGTTCCAGCAATGTTTTCCTTTTTTTTCTTTTTCTCTTAAAGCAAAATTCGTCTCAACAAAATGGCACAAGGAGAGAGCAATTTAGGCAGACCAAAAAAAAATCAAAAAAACATAATATTCTTACAACACGTGGAAATATGGCAACACGTTTCAGCAAGTTGAAAGTGCCATAAAAGACATTTATGGAAAACATGGAGGTATTTTCAAAGCGGCACCCGTGTTTTAACTGCAGAGTCGACTTTTACAGATGTATAAAATATCCATCCATTTTCTTCCGCTTTATCCGTTGCCGGGTCGCGGGGGCAGCAGTCTAAGACTTTTACAGATGTATAAAATAAAGAAACAAAAATAGGCATAAAAAATATATATGAAGTGAAATCATTGAAGTGAAGACTGGATGAATTGTTTGGCACATTTCTTAACAATGGTAGTGAAAATTATAGTTCTATAGCTCGCAACGATCTATTATGGTTTTAAAACTGCAAAATATAGCAATTTATGGTGGAGAACAGTTAACCCAATGATGAAGAGACTCAAGGATTTGAAATAATTTTGACCAATCAGGAGACTGCAGGGGCGAGCGTGGGTGGGTCTAATCAGTGCCTATCTTTAAAAAGTTTTATTGCCTCTTGACAATTTGAAAAGTAACAGATTCACTTTGATTGATTGAAATCATAATGAACAAATATACATTTATGAAGAGCAGGAGGTGTTTTAGATTTGATGAGAAACAGCCCAAAAGCGGAGCCCTGAGTCTTTATACAAGTTTTAAGAGGACTACTAAAAAACAATTACTTTCCAATATGCCAGGGTGTTCCAGGGTTAACTGGATCAGGTTTGGGCTTTATTAGGCAGTTATTAATTCCATACAAATCAAAAATCCTTTTAAAATATAGATTAAGCCTTTATTGCTTGCTTTAGAGAGTAGTTATTTCCCCACAGTTGAGACATTTCAAATTTCAAGTTCTTATAAAGTGTCTTTCCAATTTGGAGATATTACGATGGTAGAGGTGGTTTTGATGCAATGGCACACTTCACACGAGATGAAATTCTATGTTTGCATTGTGTGAATAAAAATGGGAATAGTAAGGTCCATGATTGCTGTATAATCTTTGGGTAAAAAACACTGAAACTGTGGGATTCCGCTGTCGGAGTGATTGTTGCTGGTGTTGAGATAAAAAACGGCTTAGTTTCCGGTGTAGAGGTCCACGGTGCTGGAGCTCAGGCCTCTGCTCTCGCGGAAGTTTCCAGGACCTCGAGGCTGAAGGGAGAAGGAGGTTCACACCATGAGACAAAGACAAATACATACACATATACATTGTACAAGATATTAGTTTAAAGATCGATGTTTTTTTACCGGGAACGAGTCGTCGCTGGTCTTGTTCAGGTAATTCAGAGAAGCAGCTCGTTTCATGCTGTCAGGGGAGACGATCATGATGAATATACAGAACGATGGTTAATAACATAGTAATAACTTAACATAGAAATAGTCCATGCTTTGTGTGGAATAGCAGTAATGTGATAACTTATTTAGCAGGCAAATTCAAAATAAAGGGATTTGAATGGGATCAAAAATGCCCAAAAAGTAGATTGAAATAATCTGATGTCTATTTGTGTGTACAGTGGTCCCTCGTTTATCTATCACGGGGGTTACATTCTAAAAATAACCCGCAATAAGCTCAATTAGCATGTTTTAAAGCTATAAAAGGCCTCACACACTTTATACACTTTCTAACAACCTAAACTCACGACTGCTAAATATCAAATGTATTTATTGTAGGTCTGAGTGCTGCTGCAGCTGTCAAAAGCCGTGCATACAACGTAAAATACAGCTGCAGAGGACACCGCGCTGAGGAGCAGGAGCAGGATTGAGGACTACGGGACGTCCACCGTAGTCTCTGACCTCATCACACAAGCCACAAACGTTTTCTTCTGACCTCAGATAAAAGGGAACTGTCATGTCAGACTGTACAACAAGTCACTTTAAGTCACTGCATTATGACTGAAAAAACCTGCACTACTATTGACACTTCTATTGACACTTCTATTGACACTTCTATTGACACTTCTATTGACACTTCTATTGACACTTCTATTGACACTTCTTTCTTATTGACACTTTTTGTGCATAATATCCTGCATCAACATGTTTGCACATTTCTTACTTTTTGAGTGTTTCTATCCAAATGCCAAATGTGACATGTAAATATAAAGTACATCTTATCTCATCTTATGTTATACAAGCGGTTAAATATAATGCTGTCATTTTATGAATTTGTGTATAACTTTTCAAATAATCTGCAATTGTAAGTAACTGTAACTTTTTCTGCCACTTGTCCAGGATAGAGTTAGGGTTGACACTTGAAAAAGAGGTTCTTAATCTCTTTCTGGGTTAAATAAAAGTTTAAATAAAAATGTATGTTGTTGGAGTACACACAAGGTGCATGAGAAGTACGCTGTGAAAAAGAAACACACACACACACACACATAAAATGGACAAACATAAATTCCGTGGAACAGTGAGGCTGCAATAAGTGAACTGCGATACAGCGAGAGACCACTGTAATCTGTAAATAATCTGTAAGTGACGTGGTATCACTGCAACTCCAACAGCAACACAAAAGAACAAAGCCATGAATCTAATGTGTGTCACGTGTAAAGTGTGTTGCCGCTCACTTGCTGCTGCGTGGCTCCGGGGGGCCGTTACCCTGAAGTTTCTTCACCAACAGTTCACTGCTGCGTCTCAGGACGTCACGCAACTTCCCCAGAGAACCACTGCGCTGGAGGGCCCCGCTGCCGTCCTGTGAGGGGACACACACCACTGTAATACACTACACAACACAACTGTAATACACTACACAACAAAACTCATGCACAAAACAACACAACAAAGAACCACGGCGCTGGAGGGCCCTGTTGCTGTCCTGTGAGGGGATACACATAACTAATAGACTACACAACTAACACACACAACACAATAGAATACAATACAACAAAGAACCACTGCAGTGAAGGGCGCCGCTGTCGTCCTGTGAGAGGGACACATACAACCCAACACACTAAATACAACACAACAGCCCTAGTGGTAATACACACCACTGTGGTGATACACACACACTACTATAAAATACTCCTACTGATATAGACAACAGTAAACACACACACACACACACACACACACGCACACACAGGAAAAGACCATAGCAACAAAGACTAAAACAATCGAGATGGAGGCAGTGGACTGAAATGAATCTAGATTTTAATTATCTCATTAAAATCTCTTCTCAAAAACATTATCTTGGGCTCATTCAGTTGGTTCTTAAAAGCCTCTGTGTGAAATGACAAAATCAACTGAGCAGAAAAACATTATTATTGTAATAAGTTCATTAGAAAGATTACTGTACATTCTAGTTTTCTTTTTCTTATCAGACCAAATGTTAACATTTTCGGACGACTAAACAATTACATTATCAAATTGAGTATCTATTGGATTTAACATATTTCGTTCGAGTCAAAAGAGACGTCAGAAAATGGAAAGTTAAATAAAAAATAATGTAAATCTAAGGATATAACCTCTCATTCATGCTTTTTCACTGAAACATTTCCACATATTCCTGATCCAATGCTATTCTAAAGCAGCCAATTAAATAAATTGTAAAAAAAAAAAAAAAATAATAAAAAAGAATTTGTGTATTTTAATATCCAAATATGTCCAATTTGTATAAATTCTAAATGTGTGATCAAAACACCCTTGCACAAGCGTGTTTTTCTTTAGCTACTCTTTTTACTACGTACCATGTGTCATAGTAGTTCAGAAACAATGAGCCGAGTCCTATAGTCTACATTGTTTTGTTGTATATATATATATATAAAAACGTCTAAAATTACCATCCATCCACTCACATATTTAATTGAATCTATATGCAGTTCCGCAGTTAGCCCAGCAGAGGGAGCCTGTACAATACTCCATTCAAACCACACAAAGACTCGGGGAGTTTTCACAAATGAAAAACTTTATTTGAGAATACGAACAGGTGTGGATGCAATAGTCTTCACAATGCAGAATCGTAAATATCGTACGCAGTCCTACTTTCTACAATGATGCTTATAGACCTCACCACTTTGAGAAACCGAAGCCACACTATGTTAATATATACGCTGGAATAGACAGCTCAATAAATAAGCATTCCACTAACACAATATTGTCATTAAGGTGATCAACAAAGTCACTTGTTTTGCATCGAAGAAACATGTGCCGATGAAAGGAATGGAGAAGGCAAGTCGCATACCAAGAGCCAGAATAGTGAATAGTCGAAGCCTTTACAATTGCACGTCCATATTACATTCAGTTAGTTTGAATAACATCTGATACATCTGATATGAAACACTGGGATTAAGTGGCTGGTATGTTTGCACAAAGAAATCACCAAATGTTTTTTTTTTTTTCCATTGTGTGAGAAAAAGGCAACACACTCCATTGAGCTTTTGTGTTCAAATGCATTAACAGTTTACGGGTGAACTAGAGTGGACACACGAAGCATGTTACGCACAATAACACTAAAGTGGAGACCAGGGCCCCAGGCTGAGAAGCTACAACAGATATATCCTTCATCATCTATCCTGTACATTTCATACCTCTAATAGTTAAGCTAGGACTGGGGACCTTTAATAGATACATGATTTTTGGATTTTTAACTATTCTCATCATAGCCATCAGTATTATAATTTGTAAAGGAAAAAGGCCAGAGAAAATTTGGTGAACCAATGACCCATTCAAGTGAAGCTCACATCATTGGGTTGTTCATAATCATGGTTAGGGAAAACATATTTCTTCTATATTCGTTAAAAATTTGATTAATTTTAGTTATGGTAATGTCTCATCTGCAATCTCACGCTGTTTGAAGATCATTTGTCTTTCCCTGGTGCCACGGTTCAAAATAATGGAAATTGTGATCCCAATTTAGGCACAGCACAGTGCAGCAACAGCAGGACTTAAACGGAGCAGAATTGGGCCTAAACATAGACAAAATATGGTCTAAACGAAGGCATAACAATGGATAAGAGACTCTAGAATAATGTAAGCACAAAAAAGTAAAAACACATTGATACATTAGTCAAAAAAATAAAAGAAGAATGCAAAAGACCTCCTTGACAACGGTTTGAGAAACACTGGTTCTCCTCAAATATCATTGACGTAAAGTTGTCATTTATAAAACCTAATAATAATAAAAGGAATTTGTTAAGTTTTGCCGTTCAATTCTCAGCAATAAGAAGTTCGATTGATTGTGATACTTTCCATTACAATTATATACCTATCGACTCCACGTCTCAGTCCAGGGGCCTGGGTTCCACCGACTTAAACTACAAACTAGTTACAACACTGAACAGGACACAGGCAAAGATATCAAACACAGCATAAACCATATATTAATATCTGTATTGTTCTTGTGCTCCATGTTTCTGCTTGTTCTGTCGCTCTACATTTTGTGTTGCGGTTTCCCTTTGAAATGTGTTTTTGTGTTGAGAAACCCAAGGACGTTAAAGCTATTTATGAAACAATGGAGCCGTCACCATGGATACCAGCGATACAGTCAGTTCACCATTGTCATAAGAGGAGAAAAGCAACAGTTTTGAAATATTCAGTCCACAGCTATTGGTAATATACATTTGGATGATATTTGTATTAAAACTACCTGTAATTTCAGATAACCTACTTTACCAAATGCTGCATACAAGAGTAAACAGTTTTTTTTTCTGAATAAGGTTTGATCTTAAAATGTACTTTCTAGTCAACCTTTTGGCCAATGTTAGTGTCAGATTATAGCACAAGCATCTCCCATTACGCTCCTCGTAAATTAAACTTCAAGAGTCAAGTTAAAAAAGTAAATTATTTGCCTTGGGGTAATGTTTTGGACACCCTTTTTATTGTTGGTTTCTGGCCCTGCCCAGATATTTGTAGCTATATTTTCGAGGTCCGATTTTTGTGATTCATTTTTGGTCATAACTGTTGTATAATGTGTTTTGTGTCTGTTTCACTGTCTTCTTGAGTACATTTAGTGTCTGTATGAATGCTGTTGCAGTAGGAAATGTGCTATATAAAAACATTTCCTTCCTTCTCTCCTAGATTAGCATGTTATACAACGTACATACTGTAGTTTGAATTGGCATGTCTGCTCACATGTTCCTCGTGACCGTAATTTCATTTTATTACATATATAAAACCCAATTGCCGTCCATTTCCCCTCGTAAATGACCCAATGAGATGTTTCCGACTTTATCTATAGTAAGAGTAGTCATGGCAACACCACCATAGCTACAGTATGTCCTTGCAATCGCCTTTACATAAAACAAAACAAAATGCATCATGAAAAAATGTAAACAAAATCATACAAAAATTCAAATAAATCTATAAAAACACCAAACTCCCTTTCGTAAATCTCTTTCATCTCATCGACTAAAATAAAAATGCTTATTAATTATAAGTAATATACAGTACCATAGTTTAGGCATTGATAAAGTAAAGACTAAAAACACAGGCACCAAGTTAAAAGCCACGTTTTTGTTAATATTGACTTTTAAACTTGTCAACCCTCAAGGCAATGAACAGATAATAACATAAGCTAAATAAATATTGATTCCTTTTGGACTCTGTTGTACGGTGAATGTCTATGGATGCTAATTATGACATCTTAGTTTTGTATATATTACAGTCTTTCACATTTACAATGAAATTCACAAATGACAGAAGTGTGACAGTTTTCCGTAGTTCAAAATAGTTACACAAACAATGATAATGTTAAAGGGATGGCCCAGGACTTTGCAAATGTTATTTATGAATGTCTTTTACTAAATCTGCCCCCTTTAAAGTAGCACTGACATGATTGTGTGAATGAAAGCTTTGGACAGTATTGGCTTTCTCAGTCGGACCGGTTCAATATATTTACATACGACACATTTCTGAGCGTTAAACTTTCATGATGCAATTATTCCTTTAAAGAGAGGTTTTAAAATGTAGAAAACGTAAGTTAGCATTCACAAATGTCTTCTCATGCAGTAATGTGTTCGAGCTACTTCTATTTTGTTGACCTTAACAGAGGCTCTTAAACTTTGCAGTCAGGGCCCATTGAGTTGTATGACCCAAATTCTCTTAAAGCTGGGGTACGTGACTTTTAAACCACAAACATTGAACTTTAAATACATCCATCAGACTACTTTCTCGTCCTCAAAACAGTTTGGGTCAATCACTAGTTCTCACCTACATGTATTTTTAAGCTTCTGTTGCCTCTTTAGATCCGCTGTTTCACACAAAAAGAGTGAAAGAGAGGAAGACCCTTGCTCAGCCAATCATCTCACAGCCCATAGTGTCAAATAGTGACATGAAAAGCTCTTTCTTACAAGTATGTAAAAGAAAATTGTTTTTTAATAAGCTAAAGACCACATGTAGTGGTCTGATTTGTACACACAATTTTACTTTTAAAATGGTAGGGTACCCTAGCTTTAAGCGATTGGATCAAATATAAGGTGAAATACAGTGACAAGTTTATACAATGCAAAGGAAGGTTGATTCCCCTGAAGAAGTCCTTTAGATGAAGGACGAAACGTCGGGAAAACCTGCTAAGAAGTACAGATGATGGGTGAGAAACCTTCCTTTGCTTTGACTAATCCCTGTACGACTGAGCGCTTACAAAGTTTATACAACATCATCATGAACTTATCTGGCGCCCCAGCTGAGTGTCTTACATGTAGAACTAGTTCTATTTCTATGTCCACACAGAACATATTTGCAAATAAAACCTGGGCT